TTGTGCCAAGAGTGTGTTTGTGTGTGTGTATGTGTGTGTGAGAAACTTTTTGCCAGGGCTGCTGGCGCTCCTAATAAAGGGAATATTTGTTTAACTACAGAGGGTTCATCATATTGGTTAGAGCATAAATGCTAATATTGTACAGGCAGCTCTCGACTTCCAACCGCTCCTTTGGCAACTGTTACAGAATTACAGTGGAAACTGGAAAAAAGTGACTTATGGCCGGTCCTCACACTTACGATGGTTGCAGCATTCCCGTGGTCACATGATCAAAATTTGAGCACGTGGCGACTGGCATGTCTTTATGAGGGTTGCAACATCGCGGGGGTCACGCGATTGTCATCTGCAACCGTCCCAGCTGGCTTCCCACAAGCTAAGTTGAGGGGGAAGCCAGATTCACTTACTGATCATGTGAGTCACTTAACATCTGCAGTGATTCACTTAACAACCATGGCAAAAAGGTCGCAAAATCAGGCATGTCTCACTTAACAACTGCCTTGCTTAGCAACAGAAATTCTGGCCCAAAGTACCCTAAATCGAGGACTACTTTTACTATAGGATTACTGTAACAGATCTTAAGGAGCCTGAATACGCTTCCCCTCTCCTTCCTGTTACCATTGGTGGAACTATTGAGCATCACGTCTGACATGCTTTCCCAAATTAGATTTCTGCTCTACACTCGGATTTCATTGATCTGACCATTTCCTTGGATGTGGCTCCTTCTCCTATTCCTCAAGATTGTTCCTACTACTTTATAATGCCTTGCTAAGGCCACACTGGGAATACTGCATCCAGTTTTGGTTGCCATAACATAAAATAGATGTTTAGACTCTAGAAAGAGTGCACAGATGAGCAACAAAGATGATTAGGGGACTGGAGGCTAAAACATATGAAGAATGGTTACTGGAATTGGGTATGCCTAGTTTGATTAAAAGAAGGACCATGGGTGATATGATAGCAGTGTTCCAATATCTCAGTGGATGCCCCCAAGAAGAGGGAGTCAAGCTCTTCTCCAAAGCACCTGAGGGCAGGACAAGAGGCAATGGGTGGAAACTAATCAAGGAGAGAAGCAAATTAGAACTAAGGAGAAATTTCCTGACAGTTAGAACAATTAATCAGTGGACAGCTTTCCTCCAGAAGTTGTGAATGCCCCAACACTGCAGTCTTTTAAAGAAAAGATTGGATAATCACTTGTGTGAAGTGGTGTAGGGTTTCCTGCCTAAGCAGGGGGTTGGACTAGAAGACCTCCAAGATCCCTCCAACTCTGTTATTCTATTCTAAGATGCTCATTGCATGTGATGGTGATGATGAAGGAGGATTTATTATTGGCCATTCACTCCAGTCATCTTTCTAATCCCTCCCAGACATATGTTTTTTTTAAAAAAAATATGAAGCCAATACTAATATTTTCAGAGGTTGTTTTTTCCCCTCTCCTTTTTCATAGACTATCCCTATGGTATCACTTTGGTGATTCCAGTTTCAGGCTCAGAGAAGAAACAGGTGCTTCATTTCTGTGCCCTAAATGCTGAAGAAATGCAAAAGTTTGTGGAAGACCTCAAAGAATCAATAGCTGAGGTGATGGAGCTAGAACAGATTCGAATTGAATGTAAGACTCCCAGCGTGTTCCAGACTCCATGCAGTCATTCTGTCTGTATGTACATATGTCCGTGTCTTCTGTATTTTTTATGCTTATCATTGATAGAGACGCCATTTCAGATTTTTTTTAAAAAAATGGGCTGGGGGAAACATTTCCAGGAAGGCAGAAATATCATTGTTTTAAATTGTATTCATTCAACTGCAGACATGCATGATTTAAGAGTGTTCGTTATAATTTCTAAGCCTCTTTTCTCTCCTCTCTCTTCTCTCTCCTCTCTCTTCTCTCCTCTCTTCTTACTTCTCTCCTTTCTCCTTTTTCCTCTCTCCTTTCTCTCTCCTTTCTCTCTCTTTTCTCTTCATAATAAATATAGGAACATAGGAACATTATTATCTGGGGTAATCGCTTTCCCCACTATAAACAAAAAAGTTATTACGAGTTACTGAATCCACATCCCAAGTTCAAACTTTGGTCTAAGCTATTTTTTGTTTTAGCTGTGGTTTATACACAGTGCTAAGTTGTAAATCGCCATTTACGAATCACAGTGGTTGAATTCAAACACCATGTTAAAAGAGAATCCACCCTTATTATGAACTTATGTGATATACAAGCAAATGTAAGGTACTGAATCATTGAGCTTGTCAGAGATTCAATGTTCCTATGTTCCTATCAATAATTGCACAGGGAACCAGTAAACAAATTACTCCCTTGGTTCTGGAAATGGGTAAGATGGATAAGAAAATAATGAGAATATTTGAAAACAAATGTACACTGGATTAGTTCATATGAGTCCAGTATGCCCACACAATAACATCCAGGGCTTATGTGTATCAGAAAAACTTGGCATCATTTTTGGAATGCTATATGGATTATGTGCTCCTAATGGGACTGCTAATTAATTGCTTGGCTGCACAATCCTGCAAGTTCCTCTTCTTTCATTACTTACTGAATAATACTTCCCCTCACATACAAAAAAATATCCCTTCTCCATTTACTGTTGTATCCATTCAGTTGAAGAGCTCTCTAGCTACGGCTACAGTGATTCATCGTGGGGTAAAGCTAAATTTGCAGAATCAAAATTCATCATGGAAACAGATATTTGCAAATTCAGGGAAGTAGCCCTTCTGGGTTTGTCATTCCCTGCTTTTTGGCTCAAGGAGCACACACCAAATCCAGGGGAAGAAATATGTGTCATTGCCCTGATTGGGGGAATTTTACCCAATCTACCCACCCATTTGTGATATCTTAGCCTAAAATGTAGATAGTTTTCCTAGAATTCTTGATGTTTTGTCAAAGCATAAGTAGAGGCGGCCCAAACTTTCATTTGTGTTTGTGTGTGTGCACCCACACGTACATGCACTCGGGTGGTATATTTTTCTATCTTTCCCAACTGGGTGTTTTCTCACTGTGGTAGACTATAGCTTCCTCCTACCTAGCCGCTGTGTCAGAAGATGCCTGCTAGCACCTTTTCCAACCACCAAATTTTAATAAAACCTTTCATGAGATGGAGCTCACTTCAACAGATGCCCGGAGTGGCTGGGCTGATGGAGAATTTAAATTGTGGGGGAGGAGAAGAAGGGAGGGGAAGACAGATTGGTTATGCAGATGCATGTTATAAATACTCCTGTCAATTAACAATTGTACTAAAAAAACCTATTGTGTTTGTGGAGGCCTTCTGAGATGGCTTGAAATCTATTGTTGGATGTGAGTCCAACAGTATCTTCCCCCAGTGGTGTTGTTAAAGTTTTATTTTTTTCCAAAAGGGCTCGTTTAAATTCTGTAATGAATTATCCTGGGAGACTGAAATGCTCTGATATTGCTTTGTCCTTGTCTTGAGAGCTGATGTCAAACTTGTGTCCATTAATTCTTTTGCACAAAGTTTGTCTGAGAGGTACTGAATCCAGAGGGACATTGCTGGCAGAGGATGGCATATATCACACTGGAGGAAGAGCAAGGGAAGGGCACCTTTAACCTTGTAGGTGAAGAGTTTTGGAGCCTGTGATACCAGTGCTGTTGAAATGAATATGGGGCCAAATATCTGCTTCCCATCTTAATATCATTTTCTCCTTGTGTCTGAATACCGAGGAGAATCTGCTTTAGGTTGGATGGCAAGTCTGGAACTGCTACACCAGAGTTCCCCAACTTTTTCGGCTTTGCGGACCAGCTAGGGGGGAGAATGTATGGTTCTGTATGAGTGGTGGGCAAGTGCATGTAGCTCCATTGGCGCAAGCACCAAGCATGCACACCCTCTGCTCGCTTTCAGGGTTCCAAGTAATGAATCCATAGCAAGACAGACTCCGAGGCAGGTAGATTCCTCAAAGAATACTTTTATTGGAATGATCATATTGGCACATTGCTGGTGAAAACCGACTCTGAAGGTTCCTGCAGTTTTCACGTAATTAAAAGTAAATGTTTTTATACTTTTTCAAAACACACAGTCACATGGTCCAATTGCGGTGCTGGCTGGCCACTAGGTGGCATCATTCCGGCTTCCTCTGACCAGGTGTGAGAATGTCCTTGGTTCCCAAGAGAAAGTATGTTGTTTTGGCTACAGATTCCCCTCTATCTCAATTCCACCCTCCCTGTCCCTCAGCTCCAGTGTGGCAACGCTGAAGTGATGAAAATGGCTTCAATCAGGTCAGCTTCAGGGTTGACACTCGTGTAAGTGGAGGTGTGCATGCACATATGCATGCTCGCACGCTACTTCCGCATCCCAGTTCCACAAGGCTCAAGGCATGGTAGTGGACTATGGCTCAAGGGTACTACACACTTCCTGAAAAAGCTGTCCAGCATTGGTTGTAATTTACCAGTCTTAATAATGTCATTTACCAATAATCTGTTTGAGTGACTTGAGCTATGACAACCACTGGAATTCTGTTCTGTTTTTGTGATCTATCATTTAACAGAACTGGGAATTGATCTGGCTCTGTTGATTTCTCTGTTGATCTAGGTGAGTGGGTTTCAGTCTCCTGAATGGCTGGCTTAATTTCATCGAACAAGCATCTCTTATCCAATGAATTAGAACAAATACAATTATAGCTCAGAGATGATAGCTAGAGATGATAGATTTAAGAGTGTGTGGTGGGTAGAAACCTGAAACATTTAAGCACACAGAGGTAATCTGTAGGCTTCATGTGTAATGTGATGTTCTGTATCTCCATTCTGCATTGTTACTAGGACATCAAGGAAATGGACTTGTTCTTCAAGGGCACTGCTGCTAAAGTTGCTAGTGAGCTGGAAGTTATTGAAAGCTTTGATAACATTTGATGAGCATTTTTTTCCATAGGTCCCTGTAGTCAAAATATCATCAGTGAATCTCAAGTAAAGGAGAGGTTTCAGGAGGCAAGGACTGAGGAAGCATTATTCTAGATTGGGATGGAGAATTTGGCATCTGACTTGAGTGTTCATGCTGTGATGCTCATCTGCAAGTCTATGTTGTTGCCAAAGTTTAAGGGGTCAAGGGTGAAGACCAGGTCATACAATGGTACTTATAATCCAGAGGTGGGTTGCTCCTGGTTTGGCCTGGATTGGGCGAACTGGTAGTAGCGGTAACAGCGGGATGCTCCGCCCACCTGCCCAGATGCTTCTGTGCATGCGCAGAAGCATTGCGCGCATGCACCCGAATCAGTAGTAAAAAAATTGGCAACCCATCACTGTTAGAATCTGTCTCTCATCTGCCCTGCATTTCCATAACCACCCTTCTTCCCTTCTTTCTTCTACTTCTCTCAACCCAATTTAAAACCTACATGAGTTTAGCCACTTTGTGCATTAGATGAAGTGAGCTGCAGCTCAGGAAAACTTATGGCTTTTAATAAAATAGGTACGACAGAAAAGTGCTTCCAGATTCCTCCTGATTATTTGCCACCGTAGACTAACATGACTCTCCTCCTACAATATCTAGCAAACATGATTGCTCTTTTTTTCTTTGTCACGTCCCTCTGTTTTTATTGCTCTGTTTTCTTTTGTTTTCATCTTTCTTTTTCTTTCTCTCCATTATATATCTGTACCTTCCTCCTCTTTCCCCCATTCCCATGTCTTCTTAGGGGAGCTGGAGAAACAGCATGGGGCAAAGAATCTTTCCTTAAAAACCAATGGGGCTCAGATGGAAATGCAATTCAAGCAAGGATCTCCAGCAGGTTAGAATTTTCCCGGGTTCTTCACTTCCTACCTAGTACAACAGTCAGTCCTTCTTTGCTCACCTCATAACAACAAGGAAGAGAATAGAGAAAGGAAAGACAAAGCAACTTTCAGCAATAACATAACAGATCTTATCCTTGAAATGTCCCCAAACTGATGTCATTTCAAAATAACTATGTTTCTCAAAGAACCAATTCCATATGCCATGCCGTTCCCCCACAATTGGGGATTTTCCAGATCAGAATTAAAAGCTTATCATCTCACCTTTTAGTTACCTGTTAATCGGAGGGGGGAACCACACCTGCAGAGCTCATGCTGATTTCTATGAATAGAATTGAGTTAATAGCCAATAGAAGCTCATTCTTTGAGCTATCAAGACATTTGCGAGTGTACATCTGATTTCATAATGCTGATGTTCCCCAAACTAGGTCATCCCTGAGAAGGGGAGAAGCAAAAAGGATAAACCTTATAGTAAACCAGGTGGACTGGTTTGTAGTAAAGGACTTTTCACCAGTCTGGAAGTGCTACCATATAGTCAAGAGCCAAGGTGGTGCAGTGGTTAAATGCAGCACTGCAGGCTACTGCTAGATCAGCAGGTCAGCGGTTCAAATCTCACCGGCTCAGGGTTGACTCAGCCTTCCATCCTTCCGAGGTGGGTAAAATGAGGACCCAGATTGTTGGGGGCAATATGCTGACTCTCTGTAAACCGCTTAGAGAGGCCTGAAAGGCCTATGAAGCGGTATATAAGTCTACTGCTATTGCTATTGCTATTAAATTATAGATCTAGGCAGGATATATGAAGACATCGGTTTTAGGCTAAAAAAATGAAGGTTCTTAAACAGATTCCGTAATCATTCAATCGTTCTTTTTGGAAAGGCAGAATAGGGAAATTATACTATCTTTACCAAACCATAGTTGGAGGAGGAGAGCTGAAAGTTAAATTAGTATATACCCAGTTGATCTATATCCTGGATAAGTCAGTACTCAACATATTTTATTTTTTCTCCCTCAAAATTATCTTTTCAGTTCCCGGAAGCAATTTCCCTTTTAAAATTTGAGTAGGAAAGGAAGGATAGAAGCAGTACATATGGGATCAGGCCTAAATGAACCAATATTGGTTAAAATGATAGACTGAGAGTGGAGAAAGCCAGGTTGAACTCAACCTCCCATCTTGGAAGCTCACAAAATGACTAGCTACTAAGTAGTTAGTTACTCGATCGTAGTTCAACGTATCTCACGGGGGTTCTGTGATAGGACACAAGTGGAGGTGGAATGTTTGGGTATGAGCTCCAAATAAATAAGAAAATGGTGGTAAGTAGAAGACGACACCTCTGTCAGGGATGTCATGAGGTTGATGTGACACAGCCAATAACTGAAGGCGAATTATTTTATTATTGCATTTTTGTTGCCAGGAAAGTGAACTTGTGGGTTTTTCTGCCTAGGGTGCCAAAAATATCTGACTTGACTTGACTATGATGTAGATTGATGGAAGATGGGCAGGGAGTGAAGCTTAGCAAGCCTAAAAAATCTGGCCCAGTGTAGAATACCAACAGTTGTCCTAACTTATGGCGCAAAGAGTAGGTTGCACCACTGAAGGAAAGTCCTCTTTTATTTTCAAAGGCAAAAAAGATTTAGGAGAAAAAGGCCCGGAGAACACAGTGGAGGTAAGTAGAATGTGCAGCTGTGGAGGTAAGTAATTCTCCCCCAGTTCAGCCCTTCTTACATTCTCTGTTGTTTCTTTTCTCAGGTTTTAATCAATGCCTCCCCTGCCAGACTGACAATTTTACCAATTTCCAGAGATACAATAAAAAGTTACTGCTAGGACGGGTAATACAACTTTCAAATCCAGATTAAAGTTCAAAGCATTATTTTTTTTCAAGCCGTTTCTCTAATTGTTAACACATCCTTCATGGAGCCAGCGGCCGAACTCTGGAAACTAACCTGCTCCTTCCTCATCCCCACCCAGCACCCTTTCAGGAGAAATCAGAGACAGAGCCGAGATGAATCCCCTGGCAGCTCAATATCAGGGCAGAATCTCCCCGATCCTCACTGCTCACCTGATCTTTCCCTCATAGCTCTTCTGCCCAAGAAACTGATGCCACGTTGGTGGCAGGCTGGGCAAGATTCACCAGGGGGGGCTGTGTTCTGATCGAGGCTTCCCAAGAGCATGAAACAAACTCCCGGTCCCAACAAAAACCTCTTTTATTAATTTATTGTGAATTCTACTCATTCACAGCCGGCAAAGTCTTTCAAAGGAGGATTTACAGTCACAGACCTTATCTGGCTTGGAGATCTGACAGGCCGATATCTGCAGAACTTGGCAAGGCGTCTCGGAGAGTCACGAACCAATTAAGCGAACTAATTGCCTCCTGCAAATTCCATTCCCCCTCCTCTTTTATTTCCTCTGGGAGGGGGCTATTCATAATCTGGCCTTACTCCCAAGTCGACCCCTGTTCTTTAGTTATTCCCTTCATCTGGCAACTCTGCACATGCACACACTGGGAGCAGGCTCCAGCTGTTTGTCTGCCTCACTGACTCTGAAGGCAACTGATGGCTGGCTTACAGCTCTGGCCCCCCTCTCTGCCTCCGACACAGAGGGCCTCATCAGAGCTTTCCCCAGACTCCATGTTCCTCCCCAACCTCCTCACTGTCCGAATCTGCTGCCAGCTGCGCTGGCCACTGGCAGGCCACAACAGGTTGGAAGATTAGACCAGCTCTTCCCCATCCTGGGAGGGATTGCTAGGCAATATGGTTTTGTTATTCCATATATGGAAATGGATCTCCACAGTAAGATCCCTTCCAAGGGCTCCCATTCACTAGGAAAACTCTCCAAAGACTCATTCAGCAGCGTCTCCCTCTCTCTCGAGATGCCACAACTACCTCTCAGGGCAGGGAATCCATTTATCCACCGACCTCTTAACCGACACCAAGCTCCATCACCTTATAATCAGTTGGTTTTGGCCTTATTATTCAAGTTCTGCCCTTCAGCTTTCTTTTCTGCAGCCTTTGCGAAAACAGCCCCCCTGGGTATACTTGTTGCTCATAAAAACTAACTCATTACTCTGTCAGCATGGCTACTAATGCCCTACAGGAACAGGCATCTACATTTTGAGTCACAGAACAGACACTTCTTCGTGGAGAAATCTTCACTTCAGGATCCCAAGGGTTCATGAAGCTTTATCCTGCTTGGGATTCCAGAATTAGACAGATAGGGCACCCTACCTGCCAGTGCTCCTCCCCAAAAGGGACCTCCTTCTCCAACTCCTTGTCGGCCCTTACTCTCCCAAGTCTACTGGGTAGCCGTGCTTCTTTGAAACTCTTTTCTCTTCACTTTTATCTGTAGGCTCCCTAGATTCCTTCCACAGGGAACTCCAGTCCATCTTAGTTGCTGTTTGCAAACGGAACTTGAGGGATTCCTTGGGGTTCTTCTCACTTCAAGAGACTTCAAGCTTTCTTCCTTCCCTTCCCCTCCCTGGCAGGAACAAGCATCTCCATTTTCTCTGAGATTTACCTGATCTGCTGCCATTTCATCAGATTTCTTTTCTTTTTTAAACCATTGTGCAAACTTGGATGGATACCTTTTTTTTTTCCTTTTCCTTTTGGGAGCCAGATTTTTTTTAAAAAAAACACAAACATTTCCTTTCACTTGCCAATCATTGAATGGATCAGAGCGAGCTGCGAGTTTGCTGAAAGATGTTAGATTTGTGCTTGGTTTATTATTATTTTTTTTACCCCCTTTCCCTTTTTAATTTTCTCCTTTTGTAAACAGAGTAGTGAGTCATGCGTGCCACTTCCCTGCTCAGAAAGACACGAGCCAGGAAGAGCTCAAGTCTTTCCTTGAATGCCAGCAAATCTCATCTCCTGCCCGCCCCTCCTCCCCACAGAGATGTACAACCTCAATTATTCTTCCTTCTTTCTGCCTTGTTAGCCTATGGACTGCAAGATGATGTAAGAGTTTCTGAGCACGCCAGTCATAAAGCGCAGCTCATCTGAAAATACGCCTGCATTAAGCAGAATTTGCAAAGAACTTTATTCCCAGTTGCTTTTCTTCCAAGCAAAAGACAAATAGGGGCATTAAAACAAAAATAAATCTAAAAAGCGAACATTTACCGTATATACTCAAGTATAAGCCGAGTTTTTCAGCCCACTTTTTGGGCTGAAAAAAGCCGCCTCGGCTTATACTCGAGTCAGTGAAAAATTTGCCCGAAATGGGGAGGAGAAAAAGGGGCGGGGCCATGCCGCTGGGTGACGCTTGGGAATGGCCTGGCGCCCCTGTGAGTTTCCCCTCCCTCTGTGTCAGTTTGCCGCGCAGCGCGCAGCGCGCACCACACCATCCCCCCTCCTCACGTTCTAATGTAATGCAGGGTTGTTTTACGATTCCCCTTCCCCCCCCTCCTGCCACTCTGCAACGATGTCCCAC